TCGGAGCCACCTCTGACCATCAAAAAAGGTAAAAATTTTCTCACTCGCTCAGGATTTGATTTCAAGCACTCCTATAGCCATATCAGAGCAAAACAAATGGTTGGTGAGATGAAAATTACGGGCAAAGCCCGGTGGAGCTATTGCGGGCAAAACCTGCCACCGCCTCCGATGAACCCCTTCTCGTTTCCCATTTCATACGATTTTCCACCATTGTGTTCACAGTTTAGTTTTTTACAGGTTGACTGAAGAAAAACACTCAGCCACGAAGGAGAGCCGGTGGAGCCACTGCACCAGAAAATCCCACCACCGGTAGGTTTCTATTTTTTGATTTTTTTTTGGGCCAACTGAGACCCCCTAACGTGTTTTCTTACAAGGATGTGTACAAAACCTGTCAAAATCAGCCAAAACAAGCCAAAAACGGTCAGGCTGAGGCAAATCGCCGTAGCAAGCGACGGTGACGTCGCCGGAACACGGCGATGCTACCGTGTCAGAACCCTGAAATTGGCCAGAAAAATATTTTTAACACCGATTTTGAGTTTTGGAGATATTTAAGAAACCTGGGGATAGCCAGTAGGCACAGTAGAAAGTTCGGTATTCCGGACACTGATTCAGGTAAAAATCCCTTACTTTATTCTCTGTTATAGAATTGAACCTTAATAATCGATAATATGGTATTTTATGTAATTTAAAAAAATTTGAGAATAATTACAGGTTACTAATGAAACCGAAACCGGTTAGTTATTTAATTATTTGTCTTGTGTAACTGATTGTTTGCTTTTATAGCTTTAAATACATGTTAATATACTGGAAAGATTAAATAATTTAGTTGTATTTTCTTGATGTATGTACTGTTTATCTTGCGTGATTTACGGTTGATTTGTGAAATTAGAAATTAATATGCAAACGGAAAATTATTTGGTCATGTGAATTGATGATTGGTTGTCTTACTGGATATCCTGAGAAATAGTGGACGGACCGGGTATTAGGAGACCCTACTGTGAACGTTGCATCATATCGGACGGGGTATCAATGGATGGTATTTTTTGCGCTCATACTAGACGGAGTATGGAGACAGCCCAACTCATCCTCATACCGGACAGAGTATCGAGGGATGGTATTTTGGTGCTCATACCGGACGGGGTATGAGGATGACTGGTTAGTTGACAAGCTTAGATATTGGTTCACACGTAGTGGGACATTCCTATGTACCCCTAGAGATACTAGTAAGCAAATAAAAAAGGAAAGTTGTTATTCTTGTTCACTTGAATATCATATTATAATGTTATTTGAGTTATTATCTCTATAGGTCGATTTTAAAAATCTCGCGACGGTAGATATGTAATAAATGGTTTTACTTATGATAAACGAATTTATTTAAATTAAAAACTTCATTGGTTGTTTTTATGATTTTTACCAACATTCAGTTTCTGTATCAGTGAGTAGTGTAATATTCTTACTAGGTTAGTGTAACTCACCCTTTCATTAACTATTTCAGATCAAGAAGACCAAGACCCAGATCCTGATCAACAAGAGGGTTGTGAATAGTTCACCACCCGGACTCCCTTTAAATGCTAGTGAAGGTCGTCCTAGGATGCTCGATTGTTTACTTTTCATTTATTTCTTAATTTTTATTTGTTCTTTTAGAATGAACATTCCAGTAGCCTTAGTAGGTATTTTAAATTATTGTGTAAGGAATGTAAACCTTAACTCTATTATTTCAGTTCCACATTCAATTTATGACTTTATTTCCTTTTAAGTTCTGGGTCTCTACAGTTGATATCGAGCAGCGTTCCTCGAAATCATTCCTTACACAAAGACTTAAAAACATCTAATACGAACTGTCGCTCAACCCTTCCTTGTGAAAAAATAAGTACAAGGACATGAAGAGAGGAGGGCCCTACTGAACAAGGCAGCCCGAGATGGGTCACTTCAAGAGGATGTCGATCGGCTCTTTGAGGTGTTAGAGAGACTCATCTCTATCCAGCAGGCCAGCGAATAGAGGAAGGAGCTGTCTGACCTTCCACCACTACCATAGTATGAGCCACCCCTACAACGAGAGAATTTAATGTTATCCTGATACAATCCTGTCCCTCCACCGTATCATCTAGCAC